TTTTTTGGATTTTTGAGACAGAGTTTCTCTGTGTAGCCCAGGCTGACTGGAACTTTCTCTGTACACACCAGGCTGGCCTCAAACTCAGAGATCTGCTTGCCCCTGCCTCCCAGATGCTGGGATTAGAGGCATGACCCACCACCACTGGGCTTCCAGTCTATTTCTTATCTATCTCCCTTGGATGATGACATCTCCAGCCATCCACATCTGAAGCTGGAGAGTCAGTGTAGTGTGACACACTGTCCAGTGACTTTTCAGTCATTCTTCCCTCCGTTTACTTTTTAAGTATGCTCCAAACAGTCTCCTCATGGAGCTGTCTTCACAATTCTTGTTCCTCCAACTCATTTCCTACATGGCTAAAAAGTAGTCATTAGAGTTTAGATCTGGAGTGTTCTGCAAAGGCCATATATTAAAGGCTTAGTTCCCAGCTTGGCATTGTTGGAAAGTGATAGAACCTTTAGGAGGAGGGGCCTAATGGGAGGTTTAAGGTCACTGGGAATGAGCCCTCCCTCAAATGTTAATGGGACCCTTGTCCCTCTTTTTTTTTTTGAGATGAGATTTCTCTCTGTAGCCCTGGCTGTCCTGGAACTTGCTCTGTAGCCCAGGCTGGCCTCGAACTCATGGAAATCCACCTGGCTCTGCCTCCTGAGTGCTGGGATTAAAGGCGTGCGCCACCACTGCCCGGCTCCTCCTTTTTCCTTTTTTCTTCTGTGCCACACACTGGCACTGTCATATACTACCTTACCACATGCTCAAAATCATGGGGCCAATGAATGATAGACCAGAACCTCTAAAACCTTTAAGCTCAGTAAAATTGTTTCTCTCGGGTCTCTGTTATAATGGAAAGCTGACTAACACAATAATCTTCTGAAGTAGAAATCCAATCATTTGGAGATTTTATAATTTTTTTCGATGGATCCCTCGTCCTTAAAGTCTAATTATTTAGCAGCCATGTAAAGCCCTTTCTGGCCTTGCTCTGTCCACTCCCTGGCCCCCATTCCACTTCCTTCACTCCCCAGATATCATACAGTCAATATCAAGGACCCTTGTGGTAACACAGTTCTCAGGTTCTCAAGTCCCTATATTAAATGGGGTCGTCTTGCATATAACATACATACATTCTTCCTTATTTATTTACTTATTTCCCGATGTCTGACTCTATTACCTAATTTGGCTTTGAGTTCTGAGCTCAAGTGACCTTCTTGCCTCAGCTTCCCAAGTACTTAGGACTACAGGGACGTTCTGTTACACCCCGCTCTGTGGTTAGCCCTGTCTAACTTCCTTATAATATCTATTACACGGTGTTATGCAAATAATTGTTCTGTTGAATTAAAAGAAAAAAGCCTGTGCACAATCAGTTGTGGATCAAGTTTTCTTCCTGATTATTTTGAAAGAGCAGTTGTTGGAGCTTGTGGATACAGAACCTGCAGACAGGACTATGTCCCTAAACTGCTGTGTTCCCACACCTCTGGGCTTTGCCACATTGCCCTCTCTACCCAGAATATCCTTACCTGCACTATGCCCTCTCTCCTCCTCCAGGAGGTTGCCCTGACCTCCTCGTCCTTCAGGGCACTCAGAGCATACTGTCACTTGTAAAGTCTCTGCCATCCTACACAGGTTCAACTGTTTCTTGTTTGTCTTGCTGTGATGTCCGGCCGTGCACCTGATGCAGCATGGGTGCTTGTTCAGTGTGTGCTGAAGGCATTTGACAGAGTGGTGAGGCTCCGTGGACCGTCCAGACGGCTTTCTCCCAATCCTGGTTCTCTCACTTCTGTTTTCTCAGGGTTTGGCATTGGTAAAGCTTAGGGAAAGACAGATATGTTGCTATTTAGTTGGTTGGTTGGTTTTTTCGAGACAGGGTTTCTCTGTATAACATCCCCGGCTGTCCTGGAACTCACTCTGTAGATCAGGCTGGCCTCGAACTTGCAGAGATCCACCTGCCTCTGCCTCCTGAGTGCTGGGATTAAAGGTGTGCACCACCACCGCCTGGTGGGAAAGAATAGTTTTAAACCAAGAAGTGAGGGTGTAATTCAAGCAGGGCACATTCTTAGTCCTCTGTTTAATACCTAGGACCAAAAGAGGAAAAAAAGCACTTTATACCAATAAAAACAGTTCTCTTTTATTTTTTTTTACAAAATTACTTTATTTTTAAAGTGATGTATAGGGGTGTTGGTAGGAGGCTATGTGCACACGAGTGCTGGTGCCCTGAGAGGCCAGAGGTGCCAGGTCCCACTGGAGCTGGAGTTACAGGCAATTGTGTGTGCTAGGAACCAAACTGAGGTCCTCTGGAAGAGCAGTGTGCCGTCTTTGCCGCCGAGTCCTGTCTCCAGCCCATCTCCTCTGATGTTCAAGGGGAGATAGTCATCCATTATTGATTCACTCAACCATCCATGAATCATGGAGACTGTGAAATACCTCCCCGAGGTCAGGGCCTGTGCTAAACGTTAGGGCTGCACAGATGAGAAAGGGCTAAGTATCCAGGGGCAGGGACAAGCAGGCGTGTCCCGACAAGATGGTGTGCTAGGAGCTACAGTGGAGAAGAGCTGAGAAGGAAGGCTGGGTGAGGGCCTCCCCTTTTCCTCGGCCTCCAGGCTCTCATTACTCCTAGATGATAATTAGCTTTGACGCCCACTGTTGTCAGACTTCCTCGAGCACAGAGACTGACATTTGCCTTTGCATTCATTCAGCATTATTTATTAAATGCCTAGTGTATGCAAAGCCCTTTTAGGCTCTATGGGAGCTGCAAATAATAATATTGACTCAACATGAGCCTTTGTGGGGTACACAATGTGGTTAATACAAGATTTGGAACATGGTGGAATAGGGAAGCATTTTTTTTTCATTTTTAAAATTTGTGTGTGTGTGTGTGTGTGTGTGTGTGTGTGTGGGCATGCATGTGCGTATGCATGCAGGAGCACGCATATGGAATCCAGAGGTCAGCAATCCGGATGCACTGTCCACATTGTTTCTTGAGACAGGTTTCTGACAGGCCTGGAACTCGTCAGTTAAACTAAGCTCATTGGGCAATGAGCCCCAGCGGTACCTCCTCCAGTCTCCACCTCCCAACACTAGGAAAACAAAAATTTGTGTCTAGCTTTTCCCTCCCTCTTCTCCTCCCTCCATTCCTCCGTTTCTCCCTGTCCTTTTTTTTTTTTTTTTTTTTGGTTTTTCGAGACAGGGTTTCTCTGTGTAGCTTTGCGCCTTTCCTGGAACTCACTTGGTAGCCCAGGCTGGCCTCGAACTCACAGAGATCCGCCTGGCTCTGCCTCCCGAGTGCTGGGATTAAAGGCGTGCGCCACCACCGCCCGGCTCTCCCTGTCCTTCTTAACACAGGTTCTGCGGGTTGAACTCAGGTCCTCATTCTTCCAAGGAAAGCACTCTACTCTCTTAGGAGAGTGCTTAAATGACTTAAAAAGTAGACTTAGAGGAAGTACTGTCTTCAAATGTCTGGAGAGCAGCCATGGGAAGAGAAACATTTATTCAAGGCTACTTCAAGGGCAGAGCTAAGACCAATGCAGAGCTGTAAGAACTGGTCAGGGAAAGTGCTGGAGAGAGGCGGGCAACCGCCTCTCCACCTGACTGGCTGTTGGCAGCCACAGAACCCCCACCCTCCCCACCCCACCCCCACCCCCCGCAAGACCATAAAAATGATGAGGACTCTTATGAAATATTGACGTAACTGAGTATGCAGGAAGACACCATTGGTGGAATCCAGTTTTGGCCAGAGTTCTAGACCCATGGTAGAAAAATACTCATCATCTCCCCAGATAGTAATGGCTGTCCCGGCCAGCTGGCCAGCTGATGTGCAGGACCTGAATTCCTGAAGCCTGGAAACCAGTAGTAAATGTAGTAGGTGGTGGCTTTCTTCTCCTACGGGCTGCCAGTCACTGGCTGTGTGCAAATCAACTTGAAAGGGTGCTGGAAAAGATGTAAACAAAGCAAAAGGACAGATTAAGGAATGAGGAAATAAAGCTACATCTGAATTAACAATCTAAGTGACCAAGCGGCAGATTTTATCCAGCAGAACATGGTGATATCCACTGGCTTTGAGGGTGGCTTTTGCCGGGACTTGCGTCTTAAGGCCTGAAGGCTCTATCGTAGTGGATCCAACTGTGAGAAGAGAAGGGGGTGCTGGAGGGTAACTTCTCCAGAGCACATGCCTCCAGAGTCCACAGAGTCAGGAACAACCAGCCAGACAATAGCAGATGTGATAGCTTAGCATTTTTACCATCTGAAGCTTGGCAAGCTAGTATTTGCCATAGGACATCCTGTGATATGTGAACAATTGTATTCTTGAGCAAATCATGGCTTTTGCCCTTAAAAATTTTATATCTGTTTAGAAGCTACACACCAATAATATCTTCACTGGGTATAGCTATGGAGAGGAAGAAAAGCTATTGTACATACTGCCCAGTGAGACATCACCCTGCTTTTATTTAAATGGTTCTGTGTTCTTTACCATAGAGTGCCAATAATTTTAAAAATTGTCTGTTAGCTTCAACATTAGGATTGAAATTTAAAAGATGTGTTTGTAATAAACTGGAGAATTGCAGCACCCTATTGTGAAATGCTTCAGAGAGAACAGAATTACTAAGGTATTAACCTATTCTCACGTACCCATCTTTAGGTCCCCCTACCCTGACTCTTATTTTGCTTATACATCTTTACATTAAAGGCTCTTATAAGGACATCAGTGTGCCTAATGTGATTTTTTTCCTTCTCTAATATCTACAGTTTTAAAATGTCTTCTTGTATATTAGCTTTTAGTGTCTTGGTCTTGTTTTGTTTGATTTACTGATTCAGACAGCCTATGCAGAACTAATTATTTTGGGAGTGTGCCTTAGTTTGGAGGCACTGGTACATTTTATTAACTTCAAATGCCTCATATTTTTTAATTTCTAAACATTCAAATTGTTATTTTGGCCTCTTCTTGGCCAAAGGCACAAATTACTTTAAAATACTTAAGCATATAATATTAATTTACCGTCTAAAGAACTGTGATTTTTCTGTGTAATCATAAGATTATAGCTTAAATATAATCATCCCCTTGATTGAATGTGTGATACAACCACTCAGGCATTGGTAACATTGTGTTGACTGAACACTAGGCCTGTTTGCTCGCTGGCTTCACACTGGCTCAGAGCCTCTCTTGTTCAGGAGGAGCTTTGACACTGTAACTCTTGCCTGTGGGGTTCTCGTCGGCACCAGGAAACACAGAGCAGTGTTGATTGGAGTCTTCAGGCAGGAGAGACTGCAGCCATTCAGACAGGCTGCCCCATGGTGCAGTGTGTGTATTATGAATGTGGCATTTCATAGTTTCTGTGTTAGTTACAAGCTGTGTCTTTTACAGTCATGAAATTCCTTAAAGCTGAACGTGGGACTGATCTCTAATTTTTTCTCTTACTCTCATTAGTGCCTCACATATAATCCTAAATAAAATTCAGAGTTTCTTAATATGGGGGTGGGGGTGGAACTACTCTGGGAAAATGAGGGAAAGTTTTCCATTAGTGAAAGCTGTTCCAGGTTATGAAATAGTAAAAATAAATAACACAAAAGTCTGCAGGAGGAATTTCTAAGTGGGTCCAAACCGAGTGACCTTCAGGTCCTCTCTAAATCTGGAATTTTATCTATGAAAACACCGAAGTTTGTCAAAAATCTTCAACCATCAACCTAAGTGGCGAACTGGCCGCTGATTATGGAAATTTTCTCCAAAAATGGAAACAAGTAAATATATTTCTTGTGATAATTTCGTAATGATTTCGCCCTGAACATTTGACGGTGTGGGGACTTCTCTGTCTGCTTGGCACCTGAATTGAAGCTCTTGGCCAAGCCTGGCTCTCAGGAGGAATTCCAGGGGCAAGAGGACACATTAGTGTTCATACAAGAAAAAAAATGCAAAACCATCTGGCCTGAATTGTAAGTCCATTCAATGAACTATTATTTATTTAGCTGCTAAATGAATTAAGTAGATTTTTATACATGTATATGATATTAAGTGAAAAAGGAAAAATTTGAGAATACTATTTACAGTATGACTACTTTTGCGTACTTTCAAAAAGACTACGTGTAAATCTGTATGCATATTTTTCCTAAATGGGATTTTTATTTTTTTATATCTTTTAAAATCACAATATAATTATATCATTTCCCTCTTCCCTTTCCTCCTTCCTGATGCTCTCACATAACCCTCCCTGCAATTTTTCAAATTCATGGTCTCTTTTCTTTATTAATTGTTGTTACATATTTATACATATATATTTACACATATTTATATGTTCCTAAACAGAGAGATACAACCCGCTCCCTCTGTAGACTGCTACTCACGTATGTTTTCAGGGCTGACCAGTTGGTGGCTCTTCCCTGGGGAAGTCTCTGTCTCTCCCACTCTCAGCTTTCCTCAGTTGCCTGTGGTTCTCTGTGTGGGGCTGAGACCTCGTCCACTTTCTCCCACCCACCTTAGCATCCTGTTGGTGTTATCCTTGTTCAGGTCATGTCTGGGCAGCCATGTTGGTGAGATGTCATGGGTGTGGCCTCTGACCTTCCTAGGAGACACAGTGTCACTTGAAGAAGCTCTTTACTCCGGTGAGTTTTTTTTTTTTTTTTTTTGGTTTTTCGAGACAGGGTTTCTCTGTGTAGCTTTGCGCCTTTCCTGGAACTCACTTGGTAGCCCAGGCTGGCCTCGAACTCACAGAGATCCGCCTGCCTCTGCCTCCCGAGTGCTGGGATTAAAGGCGTGCGCCACCACCGCCCGGCCCCAGTGAGTTCTTACTACAGAGAAAATGGGAGAGGGTGACTTTCCATTTTCTTTTGGTGTGTTTTCATGTCCGTGCTGTTCTCTATGTGCCTACTCCCCTGTTGGTTTAATGCTAACAGGTCTTACCTGGATCATGGGATTAAAAGCCAAGTTTTTATTTTTTTCTTATAATTTTCTATTTTTATTCCCCAAAGGCTAGAGGAAAGGGCATGAGGGCTGCTCTAGGCGCCACCAAGTCAGATTTTATAGCTCCATTTCCAAGCATGCAGAAGTACAGACAAAGAAGCAGAGGATTGGGAGGAAAGGGGCTTCTTGCTTAAGACTGATTACTCCATAAGAAGAAGTCTGGGCCGGAGCAGTGGCCAGATCTCCGGGGTCCTGTCATGACCTCCAGTTACACCAATGAGAGAGGAGGAAAAGGCTGTGGGGGAGGAGCCAAGCCTTGCAGAGACGTGTCCATTCGCTAGCTGACTGGTGGACTTGCGAAGCTTCAAACAAGGCCCACCTGTACTCATTGCTTTTCCTGACCACTGGGATAGGACACAACGCAAAGGAGGGAAGGCTAATTTGGATCACAGTTTCCCAGACATCAGTCCTTCACAGAGAGAGGGACACTTTACAATATGGCGGCTAACAAACAGTGAATATAGGATTCCGGAGGCAGTCAGGGCGGGACACAGCCCCAAAGGACCCCCCCCCACCACCAGTGACGTACTTTCTTTACCTAGTACTGCCTCCCAAGGTTCCTAACACCTTCCCTAAGCCAGCACGACTAGCTGGGCACCACACTCCCAACACAAGAGCCTCTTGAGGGGACACTTCATGTCCAAACTAGAAGGTCATGTCACCTTGAGAGCTCCAGGATCAATCCTAAAGCTACCATGGACATTGTCTTTCTTGACCCAAAAGGAAAACACAATAAAACATGCTCTCCAAACAGACCTCCTTTACCATATATCCTGGGATTCCTGTGTATTCTATTGATTGGAGAGGTACTTGTGGGATTCAGTGCTGGAGATAACTGAGAAAGGGCCAAATAGGACTAAGGACCTAGTGTTGGTCAGGAGGTTTAAAGCAGTATGTCTGGCCAGACTGACATCCTGGTTCCTTCCTCCAGGCCTCCCAGATCAGCTCTCCTCTGTTTCTCTGGATTTTAATCTGCATTCCACACTTTGGACTGTAATTTGATCTTGAATAGGGGTCAGAGCAGCATGGTCAGCTTGGGGCTTGCAACAGGCACTGTGAAAAATGGAATCCAAGAGTACTTGGCAAGTCTTGTTATGCTGCGGTTTTTCTGCAACTACTGTATCATAGAGGATCAATTCAGAAGTAGAGGAGACACCTCCCTCATTCTCCATCAGTATAGGGGTCTTACTAGACCAGCGAGGCTGCCTGTCATCAGATGCCACCCACTCTTTGCAGCCCTCTCTTTTAGGTGGGCAAGGTCTACGACTGCTCTGCATTGGCTGTGTTTCCTCTCCGTTGAACCGACTTTGATCCAAGGGGTACTGGAGGTGATGGATCTCAGCGAAGACGGTGGCTCCGGTGGGAATCAAAGGTGGGAGTAGTCTTAGGGTGGAGAATGAGAAGCTCCCTTCCCTGGAGGAAAGCCACCCGCCAGCAGAGGCATGAACCTTTGTGCGGGTGCCAAGCTTTTCACCCACTGAGCATCGGAGGTGGATGTCATTTCCTTCACAGGTAAGAGCAAGAAGTGGTGTGTGCCAGGGCCCTGTGATTTTTGGGTGACTCAGCCTGTGACCTTTCAGGAGGAATCTCAGAGAGAGAAGGTGGGGAGTCTGAACTTGCTCTGTCGGAGCTTGAGAGGTAGCTGTTGCCGATGCTTCTTCACAATTCAGATGAAGAGGGTTCAGTTAATCCTACCTCTTGGCTCAAGGATATAGGCATCATCGGTCCCTGCAAAACACCTTTTGAAGATGTATTTACTTCCTTATTCCTGTTTCTCTCCATTCTTAAATTCTATTTTCTTGTCCAAGCCACAGTAATTCTTAGGTGTGTTGTATGCCTCCTTTTATTTGCATGCTTTGTTGCAAAAGTGATTTCTTTGCAGTATTAATTTATGTCTGTGTTCTATCTCATTGTTTCTCACTTTCCCCCTTGTTTATTTTTTCCCCATAACTGCTCCTAAAATCCATTCATGCTGCTATACAGACCTCAGTTCTGCTGTGTAGTAAGTATTCCCTGGAATTCCTGAGTAATAATGTAGTGAGTACCACATTTAATACTCAGTCTTAGTGAGGGGAACTAAGATAACCTTTAACTCTTACCACAAGTAACTGCAGATGTCTCCAGAGGAACTGAATGAGACTTTGGGGGGATGTATCCTATAGAGGACTTTCTGTATGTTCTACTGAACTTGATTCACCAGGTCGGAGTGCTCCCCAAGGTGACTCACCAGGCCAGAGTGCTCCCCAGGATGCTTGCCAGTGCAGACTTCTCTCAAGTCCTCCGTCTCTCCAGCAACGTACAAGAACAGTCACATCTCACATCTGCCACACTTGGCGTCATGCTTCTTTCCATATTTTATCCATAAAAAAGGCATGCAGTAGCATCTCCTTGTTGTCTCAATCTGCATTTTTCATGTGGCTTGTGAATCTCCCTTCACATCTGCTGTGGTGGAGGTGGAGGGTTCTGCTCAGGTTCCTGCTTAGAAATTAGATACTCAGTTTCCAGCTGCCCAGAGCGTCGGCCTCGGAAAGCACATAAGATCCAGATCCTTCATGGGGATTGCCTTTGGCCAAAGGAAGCTACTTCACCTTAGTTTGTGACCCATTCATGGGGGTAGCATCCATCCAGCGACTAGTCATGCAGGAATACAAAGTCTCAAGTCCTTGGCCCAAGTCCAGGATGTCTCTGATGAGACTAGCCAGTAGCAGCAACACCCCATGGATCGGTAGAGGCCTGGACTCTAATGGATCATAGTTTAAAACTCTTGAACTGCTCAGTCTTCTTCTGTTTCTCTCACTTGGTCACCGCTACCCATAAGGCCACTTCCAGACCACACAGCTCTGCATCCCTGGGCCTGAAACCCAGGGAAACGACACGTGGCAACCTGCCAGCTTTGGAGAACGTTATTCATGTAGAATCTGTTTCTTTCCTCTTTCCTATTACTGCTGTAAGTGTCCAAGAGTCTTTCAGATTCTTCACTTCAAATCCTCATTCCTTTAGATATTACAAGTATAGGGGCCTGAGGGATGGCCCAGCAAGTAAAAGTGCTTGATACACAAGCCTGGTGACCTGAGTTCCATCCTGAGGACCCATCTAAAGGTGGAAGGAGGGACAACTCCTAAGAGTTGTCCTTTGACCTCTTGTGGGGGGGCATCCCTCACCCTGACATTTCCCGAGAGTACTCTTGAGTATGAGCAGCAGGAAATATTAGTTAGAAGGATAGAGCGGGGAGAAACAGAAAATACAAGATAGCCCCGAGAGGGCCTGGATCCTAATCCATCCACCCAACTGTCTCTGCCCTAGGGTATTTAAAGGAGAGCCAAGGGGTGGAGCAAAAGACCTCCTCCCCCAGCACAGCCAAGTGCAGACATCTCAGACACCTGCACTCAGGCCCGTGGTCCAATCATCCTCTCCATGCAGACCTGCGGGGTAAAGCCGCGAGGAAACCCGAATGGGCTCCAACAGCCTCTCCCAGCACACGCATGCCCACACTCACACCCACCCACATCATGCACATATAAACACACATCATGCATACATACACACAAGTGGTAAGTTCTTAGAAGATACTATCAATATCTATACCTATTCTGCCACCAATCTGTTAGCTTACCGGTGATGCATGTTTTTTAAATTAGACATTTCCTGATTTTGATGTAGTCAAATTGTTAAACTTTTGCTTGGTGATTTTTGCTTTTGAAGTTTTGTCTTTAACAGAGTTTCTGAGGTCGCACAGATGGCTTCCGGCACTCCGTTGTGCTCATTTTACATCTACTATTTTCCTTTAATATTTTATACTTATTTCAAGCCATGAGTGCCCTCTTTTGTGTACAGTATCAAGTTGAGTCTAGTTTTCATTTTAATTTTTATCACATGTGTTTTTCTCTTGTGTGCGTGTGTTTGTTTGTTTTAGACAGGGCCTCAAGTAACGTAGGCTGGCCTCGAACTTTATCTACCAGATGCTGGAATCACAAACGCATGCCACCACATGTGCCTGGTTCATGTGATGCTGGTGACCAAACCCAGGGTTTCATGCATGCTTGCCAGGCACTGTACCGACCAAACTGTAGCACCAAGGCACGGTGTTGTGTTTCTCCGATGGTGAGCTAGTTTCCTAAGTGCCACTTGATAACTAACCCTCCCCGCACTGATCCGTGACACCACTTCCATCCTAAAAGTTCAGGCATACGCGTGGTTCTGCGTCTGAACTCTCTGCTCCGCTCCACTGCTCTAGTTGTATGTTGTTTTGATCACTGTCAGTATTATAAGGCTTTAATATGTCTTAATATCAGAGAGGGTAAGAGCCTCCCTTCATTCTCCTTTGGTAAACCACTTAGCTGTGGTTCTCTAGGTCCAATCTAAGCATCTTTCCTGTCCTAGTACTCCCTAATTTTTAGAGTCAATTCAGCTCAAGTGGGTTGGACTCTTTATTCTGACTTTGTTTGGGCCAAAAACACTTGGCTGGACTGGCACAGAAGGCCTGCCAGCCAACATACCTGAATGGTGATTTGCATTATTGGCAGTGTACACACACACACACATACACACACACACACACACACACACACACACACACACACACACACACACACACACACACACGCATGGGGAGGAGGAGGGGAGGAACATTTGTAAGAACTCAAACCGAGATAGTATCTAGCTTGCATTGGCCACTCCAAAGCGCTGACTATTCTCAGCAAAGCAGATCCAATCGGATCTAAGAGAAACTGTCAAAGGCACACTGATTTTAATGAGCCTGGGAACCTAATCAGAGGCAGTAATGAACGGCGTTAACAATATACTCCTACCAGTGAGGACGCCTGTCAGGATCTGTGGTGACTTGGCCCTTGCTGCTGAGGACGGCAAGGCCTGTCAAAGGTTAGCTCACTGCCACCCAGCACCTTCGTTGCTTCTGCGGCTTCCGGCTTCCACCCATCTGTTCCCCCAAACTGAGTTTGAAGACATGTAGCAGTTACATTCTTGTGTTAATTAGGAGGCTGTGAGCAGGCCCCAGTTAGTCATCCTCGGTGTGAAGATGACAGGCGAGACGCTCCAGCTCTGGGGGTGCGGACGGGTTTAGACACGTCAGAGCTAGGGGTGAAGACAGAAGCTGGAACACGGAACGGAGTGACTCACCCTGAAACCTTGAACACCAAGGTCAAGGAGAGGGCGAGGACTTTCCAAACGCTGTCTGCTTTGGGACAGGGATGAGACTTCTGCTAACTATGGCTTTCTCTTCGCTGAAGACCAAAAGGCCAAGGGATGAACTCTGGTTCGGTGCAAGCAGCCCTTCTGGCCTTGACCTGGTTTGGCCAACCCTCTTCTGGGCGCCTGTCTCTGCCGGATCCTTCCCTGCTCTATTTGTATATGTGTGTGTTTATTTATTTTATTATCTACCTATCTACCTATCTATCTATCTATCTATCTATCTATCTATCTATCTATCTATCTTACTATTAGGATTTAAACCCGGGGCTTTGTGCATGCTAAACCGGTGCCCTACCATAAGCTGTTCCTATAACCCCTTCCATAATTTTGAGAGTAAGTTCAGCTCAAGTGATTTGATCTGCCCTCTTTGTTCAGGCCAGCAGTCCCAGCTCAACTGGGAGTAGCGGCCGCAGACAGCGGCGGCGGTGGCAGCTGCACCCCTCTCCCCCGCTGCTGTCCCCATTGTGCTCAGAGCCCGTGTCTCTTCCCAACACTCTTACTTCCAAATCCTGAGTCCTTGAGAGCAGACATCTTCAAGTGACTGCTTGTGGCGCTGTTTTTCTGAGGGGTTCTACAGTCTACACAATGCCGGCTGCTGGCTTCACGTGTTTACCTCAGCGGAAAAGAGAGGTGATTGCTTGGTCCTGTGGTCTGTCTGGCCCGAGCCTGTCCCCATCCTGTACTCATACTGGGGTACCGGGAAGTCCATTAGCACCTGTTCCCTCACAGAAAGGGTTTTAGACTGTTCTACTTTCACCCTGTTGCTATGATAAAACACTCTGACCAAAAACAACTTGAGGAGGGGAAGGAGAGGATTCATGTGGCTTACATTTCCAGGTCGCAAGCCATCAGTGAAGGAAGTCGGCGCAGGCACTCAAGGCAGGAGCTTGAACCATGGATGAGTGCTGCTTTCTGGCTCGCTCCCACGCCTATGCTCTGCAGGTTTTCTTACGGAGTCCAGACCCACCTGCCTAGGGATGGCGCAACTCACAATGGTCTAGGCTCTCCTGTGTCAGTCACCAATCAAGACAATGCCCTACCAGTTTGCCCTCTCCAGGCGACTCTAGCTTGTATCAAGATGACAGCTGAAGCTAGGTAGGTGTGCTGGGCTAGTTTTGTGTCAACTTGCTACAAGTTAGGGTCATCGGAGAGGAGGGAGCCTTAGTGGAGAAAATGCCTCCTCCATAAGCATGTAGACAAGCTTGTAGGGCAGTTTTCAAATTAGTGATTGATGGGGGAGGGCCCATCCCATGGTGGGTGGGGCCACCCCTAGCCTGGTGGTCCTGGGTTCTATAAGAAAGCAGGCTGAGCAAGGCACGAGGAGCAAGCCAGTAAGCAGCATCCCCCATGGCTTCTGTATCAGCTCCTGCCTCCAGGTTTCTGCCCTGGTTGTGTGCCTGTCCTGACTTCCTTCTATATGATTATGAGCAGTGTGGAGGCATAAGTCAAATAAGCCCTTCCTCCCCAGTTGCTTTTGGTCACCGTGTTTCATGACAGCAGTGATAACCCTGACTAAGACGGTAGGCGGGACACATACTGGCTGGAGCCCAAGAGGACCTGGAAAGGACCTTTGTTTGGTCTACAGAGCAGGACACCAAAAGGCCAGACTACAGTGCACTTACTTCCGTGTCTCTCTGCACCTGACAACAACTTCAAATGAGGCCCCAACATCTCTCTTCATTCCTCCTTTTCCTTTTGCTCTGGGAATGTGTTGGGAACTTAACTATCCTTCCATTCCTCCCGCTTCCCTGTAAATGTAACAACCCGCATCTAGAGTGTGGGCAGGCTGCGCTGGAGACTAGCCACTGGATCTTATACATGGGTGAGCATGGCCAAAGAGTCTATAGGGGACTTTCAGGGACTTCACTCTGAGACACCTAGAAGGACTCTATCAAGTGATATCCTTTCTGGAGTGGGAGGAGGTGAGCAAGAGCCAGGTGGCTGCTCTTTTCAGAATCAGTGAGGCAAGGAAGCAGGCTGTGTTACATGTTAAGAGTATGAGGGCTGGCGTGATGGCGCAATGCATAGAGTGCTTGTTACTTCAGCCTGAGGGCCTGAGTTCAGAACCCCAGCACCCACATGTAGAGACAAGCACAGTGGTGCGTGCCCGTAACCCCAGCACTGTGGGGATGGATGGAGACACACAGATCCCTGGAGCTCACTGGCCGGTTGTCCAACCAGTTGTTTAGACTCAGATTCAGTGAGAAACCCTGTTTCAAAAGAAATGTGGAGCACTATAGTGGGAAACACCTGACATCAACGTCTCGCCTCTACATGCACATACATGCGCAGGCATACACGCCCCACACAAACATGCAGTTATATAGACACTTGGACACATATACAAGTACTATACTCAAAAAAAAAAAAAAAAGATGAGGTAAACCAAACAAGATGCTAATTGTCTAGGAAGGGTCCATTTTGAAGCCTAGAGACTCAGGACATGGGTAAGAAAATATTCTTGAAAGGCGATACCTCAGTGGTGGGGACAACGTTGCTGGCTAGTCCAGTGCTCCCTTGGAAAATCAGACCATCCTTTCTGTACTTCCACCTATTCCCCCATCAAATGCTGACACCCAGGGAGAATAGAGGGTTACAGTCTCAGTCCTGGGGCAGGATGCTGGGCTTATTGGGAAAGTCAGTCACACCATCTGCCAGCCAGATGCTGAGCACAGCTGGAAGAATGGCGAGGACTTTGTTGAGGCTGTTGAGGATTCTAGAATTCCCCTACCTCTTAAACCCTCTGGGTGTTTACATATCTAAGTAGAGGAGCAGAGAATCCACAGGCCCCATTCTCAAACTATTTCATCCTTCAAGCAGGCTTCCCCCAGGGAAATCCTCTATCACTTTTTACATGTCACAGGCTTCTGGTCAGTCCTTATGGCCAAGAGATTTCTTGGTGCAGGCTTCATATTTAGCCTGCCAACCATGCAGGAGACCCCCAAAACTTAAGCTGCACCAAGCTGCCTCCTAAAATGTTGCAACTGAGTGAAGACAGGTAGAAAAAGCAGAAATGGGTCTGCAAAGCTAGATAGTAAGGTCTTCTCTCCAGGCCATTGTCTCTGCCCCCTGTGCCACCACAGTTTCCAGGGGCTTCTGAATCACTCAGTCTAGCTCTTGGCAGCTTGTTAGGTCCAAGAAACCAGGAGAGAGAGTTTGCCCAGGAATGATAGGTCAGAACTATTTTCTGTGGTGCCTTCTTGAGTGTGGAGGTCTGTGGGTAAGGAGAAGTTGGAGTTGAAAGGTTCTTAGAATCCCATGGGATCCACAACAAACAGGTCTATTAGTCTTTTCATGATTATACTTAAATACCCAACTCTGTATACTTAAGAAGAAAAGAGGTTTGTCTGGCCAAAGTCTGAGTAGCATAGTACCCTTCTGCAAGGGCCCTCTTGGCCACTTCATGTCACAGCAGATGGCACCTGTCCTGGTTTACTTTCTGTTGTGAGGAAACAATGACCAGGCCAACCTGAAGGATGAAAGGGTTGGCTTATATTTCTATGTCACAGCCCATTACTGAGGGAAGTCAGGACAGGAACCCGAAGGGAGACACACAGAAAAACACTGTTCACTGGCTTGATCAGCTTCCTTTCTTTTTTTTTTTTTTTTTTTTTTTTTTTTTTTTTTTTTTTTTTGGTTTTTCGAGACAGGGTTTCTCTGTGTAGCTTTGCGCCTTTCCTGGAACTCACTCTGTAGACCAGGCTGGCCTCGAACTCACAGAGATCTGCCTGGCTCTGCCTCCCGAGTGCTGGGATTAAAGGCATGTGCTACCACCGCCCGGCGAGCTTCCTTTCTTATAAAACCCTGGGCTGCCTGTGAAGGGGCAAAGGAAAAAAACCACATCCACACTACAGAAACAGGAAAAGGTACTTGGGACAAGGAGTCACAACAGGCCTGCCGATGGTCAGTTATCCAGAAAAGGATGCATACCCTGGCTAAAATAGAAAGAAATATCAAACTAGATTTAGGGGGTTGTTGTTGGTTGTTTTTTTACTATTTTAGGGGGCCTGCCACCCAGCTCCCAAATAAATCACACACAGAGGCTTATTCTTACTTATAAATGCCTGGCCATTGCTTGGCTTGTTTCTTGCCAGTTTTTCTTAAATTATCTCATCTACCTTTTGCCTCTGGGCTTTTTCCTTTTCTTACATCTGTACATTTTACATTCACCCTTACTCTGTGGCTGGCTGTGTGACTGGGTGGCTGGCCCCTAGCATCTTCCTGTCCTTGTTCTCTTGTTCTTTTTTCCTTTTTTTCTTCTTCTCTGCCCAGATTTCTCCTTCTATCTATTCTCTCTGCCTTCCAACCCCAACTATCCTTTCTCCTGCCTCACTATTGATTGGCTGTTCAGTTCTTTATTAGATCATCAGGTGTTTTAGACAGGCAAAGGAACACAGCTTCGCAGAGTTAAACTCCACATAAAGGAATGCAACACATCTTTGCATCATTAAACAAATGTTTCACAGCATAAACAAATGTAACACATCTTAAAATAATATGGACTCTGCTACTCATATTCAGTCATTTGCTGAATATGACTCCACCCTGGATGACCCTGAATTTTCAACCCAGGACAGCCCACAACGTGCCCTAGACAGGTGACCATTGTGAGAACAAGCCTCATTCGGCCAGTTTCCCTTGGAGCTTTTGTTTTAGGAGGCGTCCGGTCCTGTTTCTTGGTTGCATCTTGCAGATCGGCTCCTTTGATATATTTTCTGTATTCCTGACTATTTTACCCTTCCCAATTTGGCAGACTAAAGTGACTATAAATGACAAAAGTCAATGATAGCTCCACTCTGCGCTGGGATAAGGGCACATCTAAATGGGCTGGAAGCCCTGTGGACTGACTGCATCTCTCTGCAGAGCAACCTTGCAGTAGAAAGAGCAGAGACCTAGGTGACCAAATCTCTCTATTTAGGGGCACACAGTCCTGAATATATAAGCCCAAAGGGACAAGAGAGCTACTGATACAAAATAGCCATATTGGTTACTAGTTCTGCTACTTAGAAATCATACAAGTATCCAACAGGAAACAAATTGTGTCACATTCACAGTAGAGCTACATACAGAATCCTAATTTAAACAGACAAACGTGAAGACTGTCAACACAAGGAAACATGAACATGAAATAACGTTTTAGAAAGATGGATTAAAAAAAGAAGCTAAACAATACTTATTCATATTATGACAGGAAAACTTGACAAGCCTCAGAAGAGAGTGACCAGAAAGGCAGAAATGTCGTCAGCCGCGGGGTTTCCTCTGGTGGCGTTTAGGTGTTCATAAGAAGCATGTTTACGAAGTAAGGTGAAAAGGTGGGGGGGACAGAGGGCTCTTCCAGCGTTTGTCACTGTGCTGACTTGGGTGACAGCCTGGTTTCCTTTGCCTTTTTGAATTTCTTCCTGTGGGGGGTGGGGTGGGGGTGGGGGATGTTCTCAGCCTAAGGAGAATGCCAGGGGAGCCTCTCTGAGATCACTCTCCTTGGGGACACCACTCTCCGAGGCTGCTGCCCAGGTGCCTACAAAAAGAAAAAAAGGAAAAAAAAACACCTCATTATCTTTCACTTCCTCTAACCCATTTTTTTAAACACCCAAAGTGTCCAGGCTTTTGGAAAGTAGCGGCAGACAGCTGTGGCTGGTCAACTGAGGTGGCTCCATGGTAATTCATTTTCACCGTCAGCTAGACTGGATTAAGAAACACCTAGTCGGGGAGGGCTAGTGAGAGGGCTCTGTGAGTAAAACATTTGCCATCCTGAAGACTGGAGTTCCCACCCCCAGGACCTACATAAGTCTGTGGGTGTGGTGGTCCACAGGCAATCCCAGCTTTCTGGAGACAGGCAACCCCCGCCCGGAGCAAGCTGGCTGGCCAGGCTGGCTGAAATGGTGAAGAGCTCTCCATTCAGTGAAAAAGTCTGTCTCGATACTGAGAGGTAATATATAAGTTACTGAGGAAGACGCCCAATTTCAACCCGGGGACTCCACATGCATGCACATACATGTGCACCCCCACACACGAACACACATGCATGCACACCTCATGCATATGCATGAGGTATAAAGACACACCTGAGGATTAGTGAGGTACACCTTCTAATGGCACTGTGAGGGCTTTTCCAAAAGGGATGAACGGGGGGAGGGGAGGGGTCCACTTTGAATGTAGGAGGCATCATCTCATGAACTTGGGGTCCAGGCTGTAAAAGGAAAAAGGGAGAAAAAAATTGACATCCACACTTATTTCTCTCTGCTTCCTGATCTGCCCCTGCCCCACAGCTGTAAGCCACTCCGGCCACCATTTCTTCCTCACCGTGATGAACCACACTGCTAGTGAGCCAGAATGAACCCTTCCACCCCCCAGGTTGCTTCTTGTCAGGGATTTGGGGACAGCAATGTGGAAAGTCTGACACCAGCACCCCACTAGCAGTCAGGATCATCTTTTAGCCATAACTGCATGACCACCTTGCTCAGCAGTCTGAGACCACTTGCAGACCCTGGGTAACTCCAGACTTCAGTTTCCACATCTGTCAAGTGCTGACACTCAACCCATTGATCTCTAAAGGCCCTTACGGACATTCCGGCATCCGTGTTTAGCCTTCCGAGACTAAGAGCCCCAAATAGAATTCCCATCATCACTCTGAGGCTGAGAATCCGTTCAGCCATCCAGAGCTCAGGAGGCCAGGGCAGCCCTGTAAGCAGACTTCAAGCTTGGGGTCCCACTAGGGACTCATTGGAGTGGAAACAAAAACAAATAAACAAACAAAACCATTATGCACCGTTTGGGCCATCATCACTAGACAATTGTTTCTTGAAAAGGCGAAGAACCCGAAAGTTCTAGCAAGAAACACGCTGACTTTAAAAGACTCCTGAGGGTCCTGACCTTGAGCAGCCTCGGGACCAGGCCCTGAATGGCTCTGGGACAAACAGGACATGCCCTGAGAAGACGCCGCTGTCAGAACAACTTGTCTCCATTCAGCTGCCCACAGAGGCAAGCGCCACGGGAGTTGCCTCCAGAAGCCTCAGCCAACTGGAGAAAGGGCTTTGGTGTAAGTCAGAAATTCTCCAGGCTTGTGTGACCGACGAGAGAAAAAACAGAGATCCTGTAAGAGGAGGTGTCTGGCTTTGGGGGACAGAGGGGGCCGGCCCTTCCTGCCACCTCGGCCTCTGAATCTAATGAGCGTATCTCTTTCCGTGCAGAGACACATGGCGGAAGAAGGATGGACTGTGGGTGGAGAGAAGGGGAAACGTTTGTCATTTGGGGCAGAGGGAACGATGGCTGCTTGGCTGCTCCAGGACCACCACGCCGAAGTTCAGTGATAGGTGAAACCCCTCCCACTAAGAATAAATGAATAGAGACGCCGGGGTTGGGGTGGGGTGGGGGTTGGCAGGAGAGTCCTCTCTACCTCAGCGGTCTACAGAAAGGGTGATCATAGCATCTTTTCTGTGGAACCATCCGCATTGGGTTTCTCTGAGCGACACATCACCCAAAACTGTACAGGCTTGAAACAATTGTCACTTATTTGGATACCAGGCTGTGGGCTGGCTGGGCAGCTCTTTCAGGCTGGGCCAGTTTGGCTGAGCTCTTCCGGGCTCTGGTGCATCTGTGGTCAGCTGGCACGGCTGGCCCTATTCTCATGCCTGGCAGCTCATAGGCCAACTGGGCCTCGCACCTCTCAGGCCTTGCTAGCCCAAGTTTGTTTGTGAAGCCCCGATTTCCATAGAGAAGGCTTTGGAGTCCTTTGGAGGTTAAGCTTGAAGCCTGTGTCTGTCACTTTTCAATATTTTAAAGGCTTTTATTTTATGTGCATGAATGTTGGTGTGCAAGTATATATGTGCACCACATACATGCCGGTGCCCATGGAGGCCAGGAGTCCACCAAATCCCCTGGGACGGGAGTTATGGATGACTGTGAGCCATCATGTGGGTGCTGGGAACTTATTGCAAGAGGAACTAGCACTTTTGACTGCTGAGCCATCTCTCCAGCCCCTGCCTTGTTACTTCTTCTGCATTGTGCCCTACAAAGTCAGACAAAAGCCACCTAGGGGGGGCCAGTTGTCCCAGTTGGCCTGGAATTGAGGGGTTTCCTAGAATGTCAGATTTTCACTATGAAAATGGGGAAGCCGGTCAGTATAATGGCCATCCCAGACTCAAGAGGTGGAGAACTTGGCTAGACATCCCTCCAAAAACATACAAGAGGCTAGCAAACATGTGAAAAGGTGAGCACCGTCAGTAATCATTAGGGAAATGTAACTCAAAGCCACAAGGGGATGCTCTTTTGTACCTACTAGGATAGTTATTTTCAAAAACGAAAGATTAAAAACAAGCAAAACCCCGTAACAAACATAAAATAATAAATGGCAGTGGAGATATAGAAAAACAGAAGGCTTGTGCATTAGCTGTGGGAATGTCACATGGTGAAATGTGGGAATGTCACTGTGAAAAATGACCTGACAATCCCTTAAAGTTAAACAGAAATGCTGTCTGAATCCGAAGTCCCAGTGCTGGGTAGATGCTTGAAAGAATTAAGATCAGGGACCCAAACAGATGTTTGCACACCCACTGACTGTGCATTAGCAGCATCTCTGAAACTGCAAAATGATGGAGGTAATCCAAGTGTCAGTCAGCAGATGCCTGGATACACAAAGTGTGCGTGACGGAGTATCCATCATTCCGCCTCTAAGAAGAGGGCAATTCTGACACGTGCTGCGATGTGGGTTAGCCTTAAGAAGGCTGTACTAAGTCATTGAAGCTAGCTACAAAGAGACAAGAGCTGGAGGATTCTGCTTACACCAGCACCAAGGACTCACTTCCCAGAGCTAGAAAGTATGGTGGCTGTTGCCGAGGGCTGAGGGGAGGAGCAAGGCAAAGTCACTGTGTGATATGAACAGTGTCAGTTTTGCAAGGAGAAAAGGTTCTGGACATGAACAGAGTTGATGGTGGCACAGCACTGTGAATGAATGTAATGCCACAGAAGCACACACTTAAAAGACACTACAGTGGTAAAAACGTGTGTTACATATATCTTACTACAGTTTCTTTAAGAGAAGCCGGGGGCTGGAGAGATGGCTTAGAGGTTAAGAGCACCGAGCACCGACTGCTCTTCCAGAGGTCCTGAGTTCAATTCCCAGCACCCACATGGTGGCTCACAACCATCTGTAATGAGATCTGGCGCCCTCTTCTGTATACATAATAAATAAAGAAATCTTTAAAAAAAAAAAAAAAAAAAGAGAAGCCGGAAGTTGGGGCCCCCTTTCTTCACAAAAGGAATGGAAACTGTTGTGGCTGTTTTTCCCCCATTGGCCACAGGAATGAAGAGCTTAACTAAATGGGACCGGGCTGTTGAAAGAGTTCATAATATTTGAGGAAATGCTCTGAGAGCACACAGGGTCCAAATATTGACTGTTTAGACACTTTTTTTTTCCTTCAGGAGCCAGTAGTAGCTTATGATTATTCACTCAAATGGGAAAAATAAAATAAAATTCAAGAAGGCCCATGTCACTGGATGAATGAGATGTTGAGGCTGGCTAGTAAGCCTTAGTACTGTCCAGAAAAATAAAAGCAAATAATAATAGCTCAGAGTCCTAAAAGAATCACTAAGATGTTTGAAAGCATCAGCACCACTGTTTCTAGCTCCCTTTACCACCCTGGCAAAGAGCTGGGCAACAGAGGGGGCATCAGTGGAAAACATACCTGCTTCCTCATCCTTTCATGGGGCTCCGTGTTTAGAGGAAGTCTTGTGGCAGGAGGAACAGGCTGGAGGATGCTGTCAGAGGTGTGGGCGGCAAGGCCTGGCAGGCAAGGAGTCACTAGAGGAAGCCAAGGGTATATGACCGTTAGCAACTGCCAGACTCCTAGAATACTGCACTGGAAGGAACATGTTTCCCACATGAGTGCATGGCCCGTGGAAGGGAGAAGAGACCATCAGAGCCCCTGGAACTAGAGTTACAGATGGTCGTAAGCCGCAGTGTGAGGGCTGGGAACAGAACCCCGGTCCTCTGGAAGAGCGGTCAGTGCTTTTAACTGCTGAGCCGTCCCTCCAGCTGTCCTCTTACTAGCTACCTCATGGAGAGGCTCTAAGGTATCTCCTAACCAATTTTCTTTTGGTTATAGGAAATTAATTCTTTGATCTCACATCAAACACCTCTTCTGGGTTTGCTCCTGACACAGCTGTCTCAGGCAGGCTGAAGCGCCAGGGCACTGACTAGGGCTGCATGCCATAACCCCATCCTTTTCCATGGAGACGAAAACTTGGAAGAACCCCAATGAGGAAGCATCTGGCAAATCAATTTATTGTTCCAACTGCCTTTTCCAGCTGGGAAGACTTCCATAACTGGGAAGGATCAGCCCTTAGCACTCAGCACCATCCAGGATTCCTTGTGGCACTCTAGGAATCCCAAGACATAAATCTATACACACCGATCAAGGATCTGCTTGAACCAGGAGACCAGTGGACGAGACAGGGCTCGAGGGGACTGGTTCTGTGTTGCCTGACACCCAAGTCTCAGAGGTCGGAACTAGAGTGAACAGTGAAAAGGCAGGTTTGACTCCACCACCCCATCCCTGCCTATTAAGACCAGTGATGAAGAAATGGTCCAAAACTGCCTCCAGGAGACACTTCAGACCAAGAGGGAAGGGACGAGATGAGGTAGAGGAAGGAATGCTGGGGAGACGGCTCAGCAATTAAGAGCCGTGGACGTTCTTCCAGAGGACCCGGATGCAATTTCTAGCATCCACATGGTGTCTCACAATCGTCCATCACTCTACGCCCAGGGAATCCAGAGCTTTCTTTTTCCGTCCTTAGACACTTCACACGCTGGATGCACAGACATACATGTGGGCAAAGCACCCACCATCCCATTTCAGACCCAACCATGTTTGTCTCAAAGTATTTTCCAAAACTCTGACGTAGGCAGGCTGGCCATATAACTCTGTGGCAGGGAGGAAGCAAACAGTTAAGGGTATTTAAACCATTGTGCCCTTGAGGAAAAAAACACAAAACACCCAGAGTGGGCACAAGAAGCCAAGAACTCATCTGTAGAGGGAGAGCCAAGCTGGCTTCCACAAGGAGACTTTCTCAGTCAAGTTCCGACGGTCCTGTTAGACTCCGTTTGAGGGTATTATCTTTGCTCTCTGTGGGATGCTGTAAGTACCTGATTAGATGCTTTGCGATGTATCTACTACTCCTACTGAAACGCTACCTCCATTTAATTGTTCTTTTACTTTTGCTTGCTACATGCTTAAGGGGATCACTCATTTGGAGCTGAAAGTATGGCTATTGTAGATCAGTCTCGACAGAGCACAGCTGGTGCCGTCAGCAAGATCTACAAAGGTACTGTGTCTGTTTCAAAGGAGCGACTGTTACAGAAAGTCAAAGGGGAAATAAGTCTCAAAAAGTACATCTGGATGTACATCTGGATGGGTATATACGGATGACGATAGATAGGTGAGGAATGGAGCAGTGATTAAAAACCTCACCCCATAGAAATTTGGCATCCCATACCTGGACAACTAAATGAACACACAAATGCCTTCTCTGGCTAAAACTGCATGTGCTGGCCTAAGATGCAAAGATTTCTGACTCTCTGTATGTTTTCTCTTTTGCTTTCTCCTCTTTACAAAGATTATCCACTGCCCAAGGTCATTTGGAAACTCGCTTATCTTGGCAGGCTCTTAATGGAATGTAGCTTGCTCTAACTGCGAGACTCTTTCAAGGATAAAAATGTAAAAGAGCCCTTGAAGAAAAACAAACGTTTGCTAAGAGCTTACAACAGGCAAATCATTATAGTTTAACCTGTCCATTAGTGTGGACAGGGAATCTTTATTTGTTATAGGACACCACGAATATAATTTGGATTCACTCCCTTAATAAGTTGGTGAAGTTATACTGTTATGCCTTGTGATTTTAAGAAAGAAAACAAAGTAAAAAAGAAAAGAAAGTAGGAGAGAAGGCGAGGGAGGAGAGAGGTATGAGAAGTATGAAGTCCTACTTTTGATAAGAAAGGTGAAAAATAAGAGAGTATTTTACATTAGCAAGGAGGATTTTTTTTTTTTTTTGTATGATAAAATAAGATTTTGGTCCTAAGAGAAAAAGCTAGAATTTTCTAAAATGGAAAAATAGAGATAAAGACAAAACCAGAAAGTTTAAGCAGGTTACAGAAGTTCTAAGTACATCGCACAAGGTTTGTGGGGGACAAAGCTTGGAGATGGTATAGGAATGGTTACGTGAGTTATGTGATGATTAAAAGTCATTAACTCCTAAGGTCAAAATTCCACACACCAGTATAAATCCTTTATTTAAATCTATAGGTCTCTTCAGTTACTGATCTACTGTTTTTTAAATTCTTCTCTTTTTAGTTATGTGTATGTGTGTGACTGTGCGTGGGTATGATCCCACGTGAGTGCAGATGCCTGTGGAGTCCAGCAGGGGATGTCCAATCCTGTTGTTGGTTGTTTTTGCTCTTTTGGGGGGCCACCATCCAGCTCCCAAATAAATCACACAAGGAGGCTTATTCTTACTTATAAATGCCCAACCTTAGCTTAACTTGTTTCTAGCCAGCTTTTCTTAAATTATCCCATCTACTTTTTGCCTCTGGTCTTTTTCCTTTTCGTTCTTCTGTATATTGTACTTTCACTCTTACCCCGTGGCTGGCTGTGTGGCCGCCCCTAGCATCTTCTTCTCCTTGTTCCCTTGCTCCTTCTTCCTTTTCCTCCCAGATTTCTCCTTCTATTTATCCTCTCTGCCTGCCAACCCCGCCTATCCTTTCTCCTGCCTCACTATTGGCTGTTCAGCTCTTTTAATTAGACCATCAGGTGTTTTAGACAGGCAAAGTAACACAGCTTCACAGAGTTTAACAAATGCAACATAAAAGAATGCAACACATCTTTGCATCATTAAGCAAATGTTCCACAGCACAAACAAATGTTACGCATCTTAAAATAATATTCCACAGCACAATCCCTTATGATAGAGTTACAGCCAGTTGTAAGCCATCCACAGTAGACGCTGAGAACCAACCTAAGGTCCCCTGCGAGAGCAGGACACATTCTCGACCATGAACCATCTCCCCTAACTCATTTGATCTACTTTCAGTTACATTCACCAAGGCTGGCTAGGAAAAAAAGTTATGTTTAATTAAGACCATTATTTGTGTTTTGCTAAATTTGTTAGTTTTTAACCACAGGGGGAAAATGAGTCTTAAAAGAAAAAAAAAAAGCAGGGTTTATTTACATTTTTTTTCTCTAAGCTTTATCTAAATGTTAGAAGTTAAATGCACAAGACTGGAGTCAACAGCTAAAGCTCTGAGGCTTATGCTAATGACAATAAAAAGAGACAAATGGGAGAAACAGTATTTGGGGCTCTTGCCTTACAAGAGCCAGAACCAGGAGATGAAGAAGCCCCTCTATTTCAATAAATCACCTGTCCTCTTGAACCCACAGGCTGTAGAATCTCCAGAGATTGGATTCTCCATCCTCTAACCAGTACATAGCCTGCAGGGAGGGGAGTCAATGGAGAGGGTCATGCTCCACATGCTTCCAGAGGAAGCCACATGGTCAACAAGATAGGTACCTCCAAATAGCCCAGCTGGTGGAAGAAAAAAATAAGGAAGCCGGGGCTCCTTCTGCACCCCTAAGTGTAACCCTGTGAGTCTCAACTGACAATAATAATAATAATAATAATAATAATAATAATAATAATAATAATTTGTTAATCTGTGACCACATACACGGTCTAAAAACACCCATCAGAAAAGCAAAAGCAGCCGGGCAGTGGTGGCGCACGCCTTTAATCCCAGCACTAGGGAGGCAGAGGCAGGTGAATCTTTGTGAGTTTGAGGCCAGCCTGGTCTACAGAGCAAGATGCAGGAAAGGCGCAAAGCTACACAGAGAAACCCTGTCTCGAAAAACCAAAAAAAAAAAAAAAGAAAGAAAGAAAAGAAAAGAAAAGAAAAAGCATATGACACTCGACCATCCATCCAACTTCAGAGATTACTAACTAGACTCACTTACTCAGGATTAAACTCTACTTTTTAGAAGATATTCACAATGAGAAGCAGGAAAAGCCCACTGGAACAAGGAACCAATTGAGAACTTAGATTTTTCTCTTCAAATGAGACCCGAAGGTCAACTTCAGATAAGCAAATCTATAGACCTATGATTTGTAGCTCCGACTATTAAAATCATCCCCTGGGAAGTGTCTCCATAACATTATGATGACTTAACTGCCCTAGTCCAGCTCCAGCAGGGTGCGGCTCCCAAAGGGAGGTGTGGAGTCAGCGAGGGAACAAGATCTGAAGGGGACTCAGGATGGCTGCCACTTTATTGAAAAAAAGCCACACATTGATACTCTACAATTGCACAAAGGATTAAAGGGGAGGAAGGGGGCACATGAGCTGGGTGGGGCTTGCTGCTAACTTGTGAGGGAGTAGGCGGAGTTATCACGTTATATGGTTCCACGGTGGTGGGGATCCTCCAAAGAATTATTGTATTTAAAGAGGCTGCCTTTGTATACATCCTCATCCTCTACTGAAGCCCACACATGATTTCTCAAAGGAAAAAGGAACTCCCATTCCACATAGTGAGAATCATTAAAAACGAAAGTAAAAGGTGCTGGAACTTTGTCAAGCAGCAGTGGTTGCCATGTGGCCCATGCCACTTACCTGTGCCCAACAGACGAAACCTCCATTGGGCCTCTTCTACATTACCACTTAATGGCTAAACAAGCTTGTGCCTTCCAAAATTCAACAAATTGTTCCTGACACATCATACCTACACTGGACTTTACTATTTCAATTTTGACTTTGTGTCTTTGGTCTTTATTCATGTACGACTGATGTCTTCCAGATACCAGGCCCTAAACCTTTAAATAATGCTGTCTAGAGTCTTTGGCCACCTCCTTGTACCAAGGGCTGTTGGATCACCTAAAGTTCCTGGCCCTGGACACCACACACCCCACACTTCCTTAGCATGAACCCTGAGGAAGGACCATCCACGCAGCTGAAAGCAGCCAGAGTGATCATTGCTCCATGCCCTAAAGGATTGGTTCCCACCTGGGTTCGATTCCCAGCACCCACATGGCTGCTTACAACCAACCTATAACTCTTGTCCCAGGGATTTGAAGGCCTCTTCTGACCTCAGTGGGCACCGAGCATGCATGTGGTACTCAGACATAGCTGCAGGCTAAACATTTATACATTCATGAAGAAGAAGAGGGGGAGGAGCTCACGAAGAGGGGGAACAAAAAAGAACTGGGTCCCAATTCTTTGAGGAGGGAATATTATGATAAAGACAAAAGTATGAGTTAAAATCTTAGCATTAATGGTTTGTTCCCATACCTCAGCACAAAAGACAAAAAAAGATAAAATGGTAAGATTTAAAACACTAAAAAAGATAAATAAATAAAAGATCTTGCAGCGAAGTACTAAATAACCAAACTAGCAAGACAAGAGAAAGATTAGCGCTTCAAAGACCAACAAAGCCTTTCCAGGAAACTCTTTTTTTTTTTGGGGGGGGGGGAGTCCAAATTGTATTAAGTCAATCCTCCTGTATTTACACTAATTTTTTTCCCAAAAAGTTGTCAAGAATAAAAGAGTTGAGACTGTCCTATAACACACACACACACACACACACACACACACAATCCATAAACAATTAAAGAGCCAAGAGTAATATAAAATACACTGGTAAACTGTCATATGCTCTTTAAGCCTACTGGGAAGTTGGCTCTTGGAGTAAGATAGATACCCTTTCTTCCTCCCCCACCCCCCATGCCGCGCCCCCCATACCATTTCAGACCCAACCATGTTTGTCTCAAAGTGTCCTCTAGAACTGGCTGTCCTGGAGCAGGCTGGCCCCGTAACTCTCGAACAGGGAGAAAGAAAAACAACAAACATCTAAGCGTATTAAGAAAAAAAAAACGTTGTGCCCTTGAGAACAGCCAGAGGGTAAAACGTTTTCAACAGAAGTTACTATTGTTTATCCCACGATATAAAAATGCCTGCGGTGGGAACAGGAAGCAGGAAGCTCATCCATGGAAAGAAAGCTCTCAATCAGGAACTCCAGCTGGCGGCCTCAACGTGGCTTCCTCATTTGCTTTCTGATTTGATGATGTTGTCTCTTTGCTCTTTCAATCAGGCTGTTCCAGCCCAGTTGTCTCTGTTGTGCCTGATTTGATGTTGTGCTGTCTAGCTGCCGCCCCTCTATGGGCTGAGTGCCATGTGTCCCTTTACTTTTATTTGCTACACGCTTCATACGTTGGAGACTGAAAGCGTGGCTGTTGTAGAGAATCCTCCCCGCCATACGGAATACCATAAGCACGAAGACCTAAGTTCGTTCCCAGTGGCAAGCTTGTGACCCCAGCACTTCCGGGAAAGCAGAAGCAGGCAAATCCCTGCAGCTCATTGGCCAGCCCACCTAGCTGAACCGGTGAGTCTCAGGTCCTAATGATAGACAGCACATGTCTCAAAAAACAAAATGGAGCGCTCCTGAGGAATGTCACCTAATATCATCCTCTGCCTTCCACTTGCATGTGCGCACACACACACACACACCAATTATATCCAGAGAGTGACAAGAATCCAGGTAACATGAACCACTGAAGGTATTTGAACAAAAGGAAAGTATGGAGTCATGAGAAAGAGAGTGAGGGTTCTGAAGTCCCCCCCCCCCACCCCCCCGCACCCCTCTCCCCAGCCTCTCAGGGGTCAGAACAAACAAGCTGGAGAATCAGGAGCCAGCTGACAATTGAGTACTGGGCACTAGAATGAATGTATCCGTCCCTAGATGGATCCAGTGCCAATGACTGTACATAAGCAGGTGCTGGCTCCCTTACACTGGCCAGATTGCAAGCCCTGTCTTCTCTTCCCATTTATTTGGGGATGAGATGACTCTACCTTTCTCCAGAAGGATCCCGCTGTGCCCTGAGCCTTGAGCTCAGATGCCTGACTCTGATCTTTAACCTGATGCTCTGGCTCCCAGCAGGCATCTCTCTGGGGACCCGAGAGAGTAGGAGCCACGCTGGCACTGTAATAGAGCCGGAAGAGTTATGAAACCCAGGAGGTTCGACTAGGCTCTTCGGCAGTAAATACTTGTTATAAAAATAAACCCAGCCTGTGATTCCACAACAATGAGCAAGTCCTCAGGGCTGCCAGTGCTGGAAGTAATCATACTTCTCTGGGCACAGGGCTAAGGACACAGGCCAAGCCACAGAGCGTGACATGCATTTGGGCTCACGCTCATGATTCCACATCTCACAGAAAACTCAGACCTCCTTCACAGTTTCAAAGGAGGAAAGCTTTCCCACCTGCAGTCAGGTATAGAGAAATACAAAGTCCCAAGCTTGAGTTAAATAAAACAATAATCACCTATATGGGGAACAATGCAGTTAGGTGTAGCTGGAGTGACACTGACTCCACATTTAATGGGAATCAACGGTACGGAGTTATGAAGGCAACTGTGTGGTCTTAACTGTACTGAAGCCACTAGAATATTCAGAACAAGGGAGGATGTTCACTGTTTCAGATCAGAGTAACCTAGGAAATACATCCAGAGAAAAGACTCAGGATGGCATGAGAACTGAAAACCAGGAAGAGAAGTCCGCAGAACTGAATTCCTAGAGCCCGGAAGAGATCCAATGGAACAGGACAACCCCTTCATACACCTGACTAACCGTCACGTGTAATGGCGGCCAGCACGCTGAAAGCCAACAGGGTCCTGTCTTGCCTGTGCCTCGGTAGTCCTTGCCCACAAGGAACTACCACTATAATAAGGAGAAAATTCTCAAAGTAAAAAGTGGTGTGATTGCATGTCAGTGGAGTTGGACCAAATGCTCTGTGTGAGCAGGGGAGAGACCCGAAGACGTTTTCCAGAGGAGGTGGCATGGCATTGACCTTGAAGGAGAATGGGAACTCTACGGGCAGAAGCAGCAAGTCTTTCTGATGGTTAGCCAGGCTCATTAACAGCTAGAAGATCCATCTCCCTGCGGGTGAGTTTGTTGCCGATCTAACACGCAAACCAAGAATGCCACAGCAGCAAAAGTGAACACTCAGAACCACTGAGCCTCTGTGTTGTGCTTTTATCAGCTCCTGCTACCCTGAGGCCCAGATGCCTTAGTGATCTTCTCCACGGTGGACATGCCCATGGCTGCCTTCAGTCAGAGCATCTATACACGTCCACAGGAGACCCTCATGAGATCTGGCCTGTTATTCCCTCCTGGGATCCTGATGAGGCCCTGCAACTCCCGAGGTTATATAAAGGTAAGCAGTGTGTGGGTAGGACTGTGCCATAGCAAGGCTGCTGTAAATTACCCAAGGGTCTCTTCATTGGAGCAGCTTCTAGGTTTTTCCAAGCTCTGGGTGGGACTCTTCAGTGGTGTGGCTACCTTGAAGTCATTCATAGTCCTGTAAATAGCTCCTGTCAACTCCTCAATTCACCAACCTGGTTTTGGGTGAGATCTGTGGTTTGTTGGTACCCTTTCTATCGGAGGTAAACAGATATTCTAGATATTTCTTTACGTCTCCCCAGGGAAAGTCCCTCCATAGTCGGTATGAACATCTGGGGGATGAATGTGTGGATGAAGACATGAAGAGCTCACTGCCCATGCTGCTCTGGTTCTGCCCTCCTTCGCACAGACCAGCATGGCCGCAGGAGGGAGGCAGTGGCAATGGTTTAACGTGGGGGCCTGCCTAAGCCCCCTGTGGTTTGGAATGCTCTTGAACATATGATGCTCATTACGGCTGAGGTCACAGGTGCCCCACAACCCCCCAGAGGCAAGTTAAATTTGCTCTCCTCTGTGGCCACAGGGCCTAAAACCTACCCGAGATGTACCATTGTTCAAAGGAGTCTCTTAATCCCGCTCATCTTTTCTTAAATGTTTTGACAAGCCTGCAGGGCAGGCAGCCATCTATCTGCCTCCATCCTTGCTTAACCTACCTCACCTCCAGGTCTGTGGTATAGGAAGAGATCTCTTTTCCTAGAAGGAAAATAAAAAATAAAAATCACAGAGCTTCTGAGGTTGGGAAGGCAGGACCTAGAATTTAGAACTCATGCGGCCCCACCTCCTTATTTTATGGACTAGAAAATGAAGGGGTGTGTCCTGGCCTCCTGGCTCCTCTTATGACACTCACTCCCAGGCATCTGGCTGCTTCCTCCTCCAGCAAAGCCAGCCCCTCGCAAACCTCTTACTCCTGGCTGTGTGCCAAGAGCTTCTAAGCAGTGTGACAGCATAGCCTAGGAGCTGGGTGCCCGTGGTTTTCCTTACGGACAAAAGCATTCGCGAGATCAAAGCATTCACAGTTTGATGATGTTCCTAAAGGCGAATTCAAATTGCTGAGTTAAACAGCCAGCAATTTTTTTTTTTCAGGGCTTTCCGGAACAATTACTCAAGAAGGAATTCAACTATGTTTGCCTTTGGTTCCTTCTAGTCCTTTTCTGCTGCCTGGAGAGGGAGGGAAGGGAGTGGCCCAACAAAGAAATCTTAAGAGATTATTGCTAATTACAGATTTTTACCTACCCGATGTTCTTTCGCTTCTCGAGTTAATTAAATCAAGACCAGATGTCTGCCAGATGGGTTAGCTGCTGGCTATTGTAAGAGATTAATAGATCCCAGCAAATGAGGTAGGGATGACGCTGTTGGGTTTTAGGGATCGTTGCTGCTGCTGCTGCTCTCAGCAGAAACCGGAAGAAAGGACTCTATTTTGTCAGGATGCTAGCCTGAGCTGAGCGAGCAGGCAGGTCTTCTGTACCAGCCCCTCCGGCGAGGGCATCAGATCTGAAAAGAGTCAGATCTCCAGTTACATTTTTAATAGCAACTGGTTCTGGTTTGGGGATGTGTAACTTAGGACTCGAAGGGTCTGATAGATCCTGGGTGGCAATCAGGGCTCAGTGTCCTCCTGTTCTTCTCCGATTGACTCCGATTGTCCCCAGCACCATGTTCTGACACAGGGCAGAACATCATTCCCAAAGGCCATGGCCCGTCTCCAACCTCCCCCATCCCAGCTCTGCCATGGGTAGAGATGTCCACTCCTGGTCCGGTCCTTCTAGAGCATCAGGGATCCTGGCTGAGACCAGCAAGGAAGGAGGGGTGGGGGGGAGGCCAGGCAGAAGGGAACAAAGGTCAGTTATTATTCACAAAGGACCCATTTGTTCTAGCGTGTGAAAGTGAACTTCTGCACAGCACTGGGGCCTTCACAGACACCCCAAGCTCACACTCGCCAACCAATCAGTTCCCGGTGCTCCCTAGAGTCTGTCTTCCATCGTGCCCGAGTCTGAGTCACCAGCGCCAACCGAGCCTGTCTCTGGGTGAGACGGGTGCTGAGCAGCCAGGAGCTGTTCGAGGCCCCAGAGCTGCCCACACGGCGTTTGGAAAAAAGCAGGCACACACTCTCTTTCTTTGTAACTGAAACAGAGCAGCGGAGCGTGAACACACATCGGTTGGTGTAACTCGGATTCCTTTCTGAAGAACCTCAGCTCTTCCTCCCCTCCCCCACAGTGAATTCAACCAAAGTGTCCTGGCTTTGGCAAGTTGGAAAGAATGACTCAGCTGTATTTGGCAGCTGATAGTCATGGCATGCCACTCTCTGGGAAACAGAAAAGCACTACAGGTAATAATTTGGTCTATTCATTAAAACAAAAACAAACAAACAAAAACAAAAAACAACCTCTGCCTTCTCAAGCCCATTCATTCCCCCATGATCTCTTGGTCCTGTAACTTTTGCTACAATCTGTGGGTCCTTTTCAATGCCCAGGGTTACCTCTTCAGATTGGGTCAGGGAAGGAACCACCTAGAAAGGACAGTGAGGCAGGCAGTGAGGTGCCCAAGGCTCAAAGGCGAACACTCAGTCGACACCTGCACAATCCTGGCAGTGCACAATTCCCCAAACAATGTAACCTGGGAGGCCCATTCCTCACCCTGAGACAAAAGGGATTTCTTTCCCCAAAAGAAAGTAATTTGCTTCCTGGGTTCATAAACCAAAGGAACACCTTTAAAATACACCCACACCAGGGACTGAGGAGATAAATCAATTAGTTGATGGTGCTACATGAGCGTGAAGCTCTGAGTGTGATCCAACACACATCTAAAAAAAAAAAAAATCATCAGGTGTGGTAGCATGCTTGTAATCCCAGGGAAGCAGAGGCAAGAGATTCCTGGGATGCTCTGGGCAGCCAGCATAGCCGAATTGGCGAGCCCCAGGCCCGTGAGAGATCGACTCTCAAAAACCAAGTGGTGACTTCTGAGGAACAACATTAGAGACTGACCTCCGGCATTCACATGCACATGAACTGGTGTGCGCACGGGAACACACATATGCACACACAGAGACACGTGCACACGAATGCTTCAAAAAGAGTGTGGCGCCTGGGCGTGGGAAACTCATCCACAGGTGAGAGTTCTGGGCAGCTATGGTTAGGAATTGCTGGCTTGCAGGAGGCTTGCACGTGGCCACAGTGAGTGGACATCTGGTTCAGGTGTCTCTGGCATGGCCCCTGCAAGATTTCCTCTGGGCCCTACAAGCCCCTGAGGTATGGCATCTCTACCAAGCAGCCTTAGCCATATTCTCCACCCTCCCCTACTCCAAGCTCCCCAGCTGGATTTTCAGCTAAATTCCTCATTAGCTCCTAGGAGCATGCAGAGACTGCTCATGCTACGCCACTGACGCTCCTAAGTTGGAGTAGGGAATCTCTGAGTGGTCAGACCCCCGAAACTGTGAACAACTGTGGGGCACACCTCCCCCACCAGACTGCAGCCCTGGCTGGGGAGATGAAGGTGTGTGCCCAGCTAAGCTGACATCCCACCTCTTCCCTCTACCACTTCTCCTGCGACCAGGAGAAATAAAGCCTGGGGTTTCCCATGCCCTCTTCCTGCCTTGAGATCGCTCGCACAGAAACTGTATCTGCTCCCAGACCTTTTGAAAATCCTGCCTCTTTAGCAGCTGGCTTTTGAGCTTGTCACTTTGGGGACTCACGAAACTCTAATTTGACCGTAAGACCTCAGCGATGGCAACTCTGTACCCTTTCCCCAAAGCACTGAACTTCCCCTGCCCACCTCTAAACACACACACACACACACACACACACACACACACACACACACACACACACACACACACAGAGAGAGAGCTTCTCACCCCACAGAAGCAGAACTTAGAGGCTACAAAAACATTTCTGAGAACGTTTTAAACATTATCTCCGTTCCGTGCCAAGACTCAGCACTTTACCTGGAGCCTCTGAATGTACACCCACGTTCTGGGTCTTTCTTCATTCTCACAGCATTTGGAGAGGCAGTAGAAAGCGGACACTTATGGTCATCTCATATTTGTGTAATGAGATAAAGGAGAAGATGGAGTGACTTCTGGGGCCCTTGTGATGCAGAGGAAGCTGAAAGTGGGATACAGGGTTCTAACGGATCTTGAGCTTTTATTTATGAACTCGGCTCACTCAGTTCTGAACCTTCCTAGCCTGTCTGTCAGAGTCTATGGAGAAACTGGAACCCTTAAAGCCAGCTATGGGATCCGAGAGCGGTGTGGCCCAGCAGTTCTGGAAGCCAGCGTGCAGGCTGGGCTTAGTCCTGGCTTGTCTGACTCCCGCCATCCTCACTCAAACTAGCTGCCTCTGCAAACATGGGGAGTGGGAACTTACTTCTCCTCTCATTCACTTCTTCCTCTCATTCTCTTCCCCACCCTGGTCCACGCCACTGCCCAGTGGTCCAGCAGGGGCTTTCTCCCTGCCCACTGCCCCTAGTCTGTAGCGGTATCAACACCACTAAGCCTTCAGGACTTCCCAGAGCTGGGCCTGCCCTCCATAGGAAATTGAGCCCACTGTGAGTCAGCAGCCTGGATGGGCCTGAAGCCCAGAGACTCTTGGCTAGGCCTCTACCAGATGGGGCATTCCCATCCTCCCAGTCCTCAGGGCAACGTCTGCCCCACATTGAGGTATCAGAGTTCCAGGGTGTCTCCCTACTCCGTTGCAGCTCTGAAGTTGTCCCAACAAATGCCCTTGCCTTGGAGGGTTGGCAACGGGCGCAAAGCACAGAAGCTTGTAACTGCGAGGGAAGTGGTATTCCGGAAGCCGGAGGGTACGGAGTGTGGGTACCGCCTCTCCTGGCTGTGACCCCTCTGGGTTCCAGGAGGGAGAGCTGAACAGCCTCCAAGAAGCACCCACACACCCTTGGTGCCCACACTTTTGTGAATCACAGCTACTGTATGGGGTGCTGAGTCACTCTGGGGAGACAATATCGGGCCTATTTTAAAAGGATTTGTCAGGGTACTAAAGCCCTAAATGCTTAGTAATTTAACTACCAAAAATAGGTACTGGTTAGGCCTCAGTGCAGGCCAGGCTGCTCCTTTGCTGGCTGTCATGGTACATGCAGTCCTGAGCTCGCACAGAGGGACCTGGCACACACAGAACAGTGTCAGCCACCACTGCCGGAGTGTGAGCCAAACCTCTGCCTCAAGAAGGGTGGAAGGGGAACTTCAGGCGAGGCCAGGTCTGAGCAGCAGATACTGACTCTTGGTGCCACATATTCGGACTCACTCACTACTGTTTCCATTTATGGGGAGAGAAAAAGCAGGTGGCCTGGGACTATCCGACTTGAATTTCCAACTCCTCAGCAATCCAAAAACCTGAAGTTTCTCTTTAGTTCAACGGATCTCCTTCTAACCCTGTATTCATCTAGGACTCAGTGACCTAGAGACCGACCAGAGCCACCATGGGCCTTAGAGACCACTATGTCCAGCCTATACTGATGATGAGCAAACACACACTCAGAATCCCAGGTCGCCATCCCTAGAGTGAAGGGTGCAGAGAGGGGTGTGGATGAGACACGGGGCCCTAGCCAGGAAGCCGGCCCATGCAAGGTAAAAGGTAAAGATTGCCGTCAGAAGTCGAACGCAAGTTACAGGAAAGCCAAGGCACAGATCACTCCTGCACAAGGACTCAGGACAGCTGTCAAGGGAAAGCTCTGGAATTAGCTCTCCAAAGCTGGGCTGGGTGTGGATCCTTAGGGGGTAGGAGGAAGGGAAGAGGGCTGTGTCCATAAAAGCAGCAGCTAAGGCATCGATGAGAGGCCTGGGGGTGTCAGTTAGTTGGGCTAGTGCATGGGGGTGTTAAGATAGAATAATGGGTACAGGGAAGGAAATAGGCTAAAGACCAGATGATGGAAAGTCTGAAATGCCACAGCGAGGAATCGGAACTTGATGGTCATCATTATCATCTAAAAGCACCAGGTGGCAAGGGGCCAGACGTTTCACTGAGAAAAATGCTCAATTAGTACGCAGTCTGCACTTTCTGGGAGCTGGAGTTCAAGAGAAAGACTGAAATTACGGGCGGATATTAAAGACATGTATTAAACACACACATAAATCAAAACCTACTTAACACCCGCGTGTGTAAGTGTGAGTGGAGAGTAAGGGCACTTAATGGACTTGGGAAGGAAGATGACATTTGGGGAATCACTCCTGGAACGCCCTCTGCCTTTCCTGTGCCTTGCAGCTCTGAGAAAGGTTCCCGGGAGCCAAGACCTCAGTCTTGATATTAGACACCGGCTTCGCGTGGCTTTTGTTTCTTAGATGGCTGATTTCTGAGGCTGAACGGTTCTGGGAGCCTCCTATCCGTTCTCCTTTCTGTTAGTCCTCCTCTTGCGTTCAACCCCAAGTCCACTATTTGGAGGGGAAATGGGGGAGGCAGCCACTGGGCATAGTGTGCAGGTTACCCACCAAAGAGTTGGAGCTGAACGCTGACCCTTCTGTTGTCAAGCCAAGAAGAGCTCTATCCGCACACGGGGTGGTGCTTTTCCTAACTCACACAGAGGCATCGAATGGGCTTGTGGCCCTAACGGTGGTGGTGGTGTAGCCAAGCAGCTGCTCTACACGATGCAGTCCAGCTTCCCCCTGCCCTGCCTCCCACCAGGGGACATCGGAAACACTCCAGCCTGGTGTCCCAGGCCAGGTGCTGGGAGGCAGTGACTGTGAGCCTCCCAGCTCTCCTCGCTACATCCCTCCTTCACTTACGGCAACATTAGGCCAGAGATCTGAGGGAAAGCAGAAGAAAAATGTTGCCAAAGGACATCAAAGAGCCACACACACTGGAAACACCCACTGGGTCATGCCCCGGTTTCAGCAAGTTGGACATACTTCTTTCTGTCTTCCCTGGCAGGCACACTGTCAAACACAGCTCTCCATGCTTCCATACAGTGTGAGAGTTGGGAGCCCCTGTGGTCAGCAGGAATTCCCTCCCGACCCTGTCAAGATTGACAGGAGCTACCAGCCAGTTCCAGCATTGAAAGGACGGCCCAGCAGCCCCCAAGCAGGCCTTTTCACTGCAGTAGGCCTTGGTTAGGCTGCCACTTGGCTCTTGGTATTCACTGTGGTTGGATATGGGTGATCTCACTGTTGGCTCTGCTTCTGCGCTCTGTCGTCGTGTAGATCTGTAGGTGAGAAGGAAAGAAGAGAAGCACAGTGACAGAGAGCTATTCCTCTTACCCTCTGCCCCCATCTGCCTGCACCAGGAAGTGAATTAAGCCCAGAAGAGGAGCCCCTATTGCTCCCAGCTGGACAGGAGCCTGTGTCCATGCCGTGTACCTCTCTTTGCTCTGCTCCTATCCTCAGGTTCTGACTCCTGGACCAGCTTCTTTATTATGGGCTAG